ATTCCATCCGGGGCACTTTTTGTCTTAATAATAAAAGTCTAAAAATTTAGAGGAAAGAAAATTGTTAAAAAAAAAAAAGAAATAGTTGTGTATCCCTGCATTTATATTTATGGATCATGAAGTTAAATCTTTTTATGTAGCAAGTTGAATTCCCTGTTTGACACTATCCATGCTAGTTAATTATTAAATCATAGTTGATAAAATTAAAGCAATACTATCTTCAGTTTTAGAAATAATAAATACATGTAAAATAACTTATTTCTAGTTGCGTATTTTTGCCGGACAATGGAGCTTTCTTCGTGGGTTATGTCATAACCGCCTTATTTATTGGTTGTGTCTTTGAATTGATACGAATACCAGATGCTCTTTTCTTAATTTATCAGTCATTCGTTTCCAAGTCAGAAGCTGAAAATGTGACTCTTAGAAAAGTAAGTATTTTCACGTATTAAGAACGAATTTCTTATGAATCCATTTTTAGAATGCTTAATATCTTCAAAGCCTTGAAGTTTAAGAAGAGTTCTCTTTCACAGCCTGCGAAAATTTGATTCAAGAATTTGCTCTTCAAACTGCAAATTTTACTGAATCGTTGTACTAAATTTCATTGACTGGCTCACCAGTGGCCGAGCGGTAAAGTCGATGAACACTGGTAGTTCGGTCGGAGGTTCGAATCCCGCGAACGGGATGAATGCATGTGCGATTTCGTGGTTTCCCCCATATGTAACGTGTATACGAGCCAGTTTCTCTTAGGAAGTCTTCCACGAAGGCATCCCTTCCTTTAGGCACATAGCCCTCGAGGCTATTGCCATAGTCACATAAATGAAACCAAACTTAATTTCATTTCTAAAATTTGACAAAATTACAAATTTATTTTGTTTCTTCGAGGAGATGACTCTTCGTTACATTTCTTGGAACAGGAAAATTTATTCTCTAAAATCATAGGAAACCTTCGATTGAATTCAATAAAATTTTACAACAAAACACTCTTAATTTCCTTAAAAGGCTTTATTCTAATATAGTTTCAAGTATTTAATTAGTTATTTATGATAAGAACTTTAATTCTGTTATAATGAATTATTCCGGGGAAGAAATTTAAAAAAAAAAAAAAATCTTAAATGTTCCACATTTTAATGTTTGCCCAAATGGGTTTGTTAACGTTTTTTACGCTCTCGCTAACAGTCTGTTCTTGTACTCACTGCATCTACCATTTTTTTTCTTTTTAGCCTTATTTTCTTTTTAGCTTTATTTAGCAGCGTTTGTTTCACATTTACGCCACATACAATTCAATAACTAAATCACAAAATTTTTAAAAGCTGCATAGTAGTATATGCTTATCATTCCCGATGCAATGTCAAGTGTTGGCATAAAGTTTAATATTTTTTTCAGTCTTTTCTCAGTTCACAATAACAATAGTCAATTTTCTTAGTAAGATGACTAAGAAACAAATTCTTGTCTTTTTATTGTTAACTTCTTATGTGTTGATTTTATTTACTAAATATTAATTTCTTTGCATTTATGTCACATAAAATTCCTTTCAGCAGCAAAATCACAAAATATTTAAAAACAGTACATCTTTAGAATTCTCCATAGAATGTTAGAGGTTGCATACATGCTTTGATATTCACTATATTATTTCACTAAAAAATCGCCGCTCGCTCTGTCAACCGCCTAAATAGTTATCATAAAAATAGAAAAGTATATAACGATTTTAACGAGCAAAGCTAGTTTAATTTCATAAAAATATTGAATATTTCTGATTACACATCTCATGAGTTTAATACATGTTGGTGGCAACAGTTTGAAAAGTCAAACAACGCTTATCGTGAATCGACGAAAAGCGCCAAAACGAAATTAAAAGTCCATCTGAAAAAATTGCCCCTTTGGACTAATAATAAGTAAATATAAAAAGTTTTACATTCAAAAGAAAGAAAAACTTTTGATGTAATAAGAACTATTTAATTTAAATAAGTAACAGAAATTTTCTTTGCAAAAACAAAAATCGCAAATTCTAAAATTTACTTTAAATTTTCTTATGCTAACATAATTATCATTATTTATACGTATATATTATTTTATTTATCCATTATAATAGCTATCTATGAAATTTTGTGAGTAAACTTTCTAGAATAAATTCGAACTGAAATAATTGTGTTCTCAAAATGTTCAACATGCATAAATGATGGAAATAAGAGGCAATGCATGTAGTTGATTAAATTCCCCAAATTAACATCACAGTATATTGTAACCTAAATGAAAAGTGACTTTTAATTCGATTCAAAATTAATTTTTCCATTTACCATTAGTTTGAGCGATTATTATTAAGACTTAATATACGTCAATTTGGAACTTTTTCTTAGAAAGGACCTGAGTTTATTTAAATTCCTTTAGCAATTTTTATTATGAATTCCACCTCGATTATGATTGATTTGAAAGAGACGAAGAAAAGAATTCTAATTCAATTAAAATATAAAAAGTTCAAAAAGAAATTTCAGTACGTCTTTAAAAGTTCTATGTAATGGCAAATTATTTAAATACTACACTCATTTCCATAAATTAAGGATAATTCGGAGTCACGCGAAAATCGAACTCTAAAATAAATATATCACCTGTAAAATCACTACACACATCTTCAAGAATCATATGCAAATTTCAGGAAATAACCAGATGACACCGATGATACGTCACAATGACGAGAGTGTAAGAAGAGGAGATATATAAGGAATACAGGCAAAGAAGTAAAATTGTTCGCAGGCACTTTATAAGCATTTCAGTGCAATAACCGAATAGTTATGACACAAGGACGCATTTGGATGATTTTTTTTACGTGGTAGAATTATCGGCCGTCTGGAATGTGGGCGTACCCAACTGGAAGTATCAGACGAACTTGGAATTGCCAGAGTGTCATCTCCAGGCTTTGGCAACGATTTCCAAGATGATGGTAATGTGAGTAGACGTTACAGCACAGGTCGCCCCAGAGGTTACAACGCCGAATGAGGACCGGTATTTGGCAGTTACTGCCAAAAAAACAGGAGAGCACAGCCTCAGACCTGTCTCGTCAGCTCTCTTCAGCCACTGGTACGACAATTTCAAGGCAGACCGTGTACAACGCTTAGGGCAGATTGGTCTATATGTTCGTAGACCTGTCAGATGCGTTCCACTTACTGCAACTCACTGTCGCCTGCGGTTAGCCTGGAGTAGTAGAGAGCATGCATTGTGGACACCGCAACAGTGGGCTTGTGTGATGTTTTCCGACGAGTCCAGGTTTAGCTTGCAGTCTGATTCTCTCTCGCCGGACTTTCATATGGAGAGCTCCAGGTACCCGTTACCACCAAGAAAACATCATTGAACGACACCGTTACGGTGGTGGCAGGAGTGCTCTTTTGGGGCGGAATTATTCTGGGTTCCAGAACTGACATGCATGTTCAAATTGGAACTATGACAAGCCAAATCTATCGGGACGCAATTCTTGAACAACATGTACATTTGTTTCGGGGTGCCATGGGGCACAATTTGTGTTTATGGATGACAACGCCCGTCCTCACCGTGCAAACATCGTAATCGGAGGATATCACCCGTATGGACTGGTCAGCATTCTCACCGGACTTGAATCCAGTAGAGCACGTGTGGGACATGCTTGGCCGACGAGTTGCAGCCCGTCAAACCTCCCTCCTACATGTCTACCGGAACTTCGGAGAGCATTGCTTTTTGAGTGGGTGTAATATCCCCCAAGATCAGATCGATAATTTGATACTCAGCATGCCTAGGCGTTGTACGGACTGTATTGCATCGTCTGGGAGACATACAATGTATTAACAATCATACCAACCATTGTAATATTGGTTTTTTTGTAAACAGGTTTTTTTTTTTTTTTTGTAATTTCCTCCAGGGAGAAAAAATCGCTAATTTTTTTAATAATATCAAACATATAGCATCTTTGTTTTGCTCTTTACCTTTTGTTTAATAAATAAGCTTTACAAATAAGTCAAATTTGTTTTGCTTTTAACTCTTCCTTTGTTTGATTTTGCATTATCCTTAATTTATGGACATGAGTGTAGATGATTAACGGTTTTTCTTTCACTTAATGTAAAATATCTACAATTAAAATTTAACTGCAGCTTACCTTGTACGACTCTAAAACATCTTGGTCCATCAACACTGACTGAAGCCATTGTAAGAGTTTTTGTAAACAAATCTTGTAATTCGGTAAGCAAGAAAATTTTGGTCTTTAAAATATGTCCTCATTCCAACAAAAATGAACCAATCACATTAATTCCATGTTCTTTTATCTATATCTTATTTACACATCTCGTTTATCGTCTGCGGAAAATACCTAATATGTATGAGAATGGATGTGACGAGAAAATTTAAAATGAGGCCTTTTAGCGAATCATACAAAATTACCCATTTTTAGAATGCACTGAAACACAGCCCTGATTCTTAAGGATTTTAGATCTGTCTATAAGAGCATTTTCCCCACAAACTAATGCATATACGTTAATTCACAAATTATAATTTAAGTAAAACATGCCATTCTAATCCCCTTAAGAACTAGATAATTTGAAAAACGAAAACGCTTTTAATAACACTTAACTAAAATGGATCTTAATTATGAAAGTAATATATCACTATAAGTACTTTGGCAAATGCCAATTTCATTTAGCTGTGAACTAAAGTGAAGGATTCATGATATTAAAAAGACTAGCCACTTTTTTTCTTAAAATGGGCTGAGTTTTCTCAATAAAAATTTTCACTAAACGGAAGATGAATTTTGTTACTTATATCTTCTTCAAAACAATTTTTCGATTTTCTTCAATTATTATGCAAAAAATTATTCTAGCCTTTGTTTGCGAGTATTATATATTTAACATATATTTTACATAATGCACTTTAAATACTTTCATATTATAGGCTGCTTCCAGTTTAATACTATGCTATTTTAATTTTTAGGATTTGATAATAGAATTCGCCTACGGGATCCAGTATTCGAGAATACTGCTCATTTTCACTTTAGTTTCATTCTTTAGCTTCTCATGTCCAGTGATAACACCTTTCGGTAAGTATATATTCAGACATTTTTCCTTTTGAAATTTGAAGGGAAAACAAGGATTTCAGGAAAGAACAGAGATATTTCCTGTTCTCTGCTCTTTTAAGGGGGCTCATACACCTTAAACCCCTTATGAGCTTCGAATTATGTGACTGTTGCAAGAATTGTGATATTTTATTTATTTTTGGAAGTAATAACCTCCAACTTTTTACAGCTGACTACATAATATAGCTGCTTTGGAAACTAGTAACCAGAAAGTTTGTGTTGCCACAAATGTTTTTGTAATTTAATCGAATTTGTGACAAAATTTTTCGTCATTTTTCCACATTGCGCGCAATGATATTTTAAAAATGGCTAATGGTACATATTAAATTGGATGGAATTCTATATGGGCACTATTTTCTAATGAACCAACAATTGATAATTTTACGATTGAAAAATTTTATGCACGAAAATATAGAGATATTTTTAATAAAATACATTTTATAACTCGACTCCAAATAAAAAAAAATTAAATGAAATTCTCAGTTTTTTGGTTTACGTAGTTTCCAAATGTTAATAAAAGCTATATAAAAACTATGGAATTAAATAATGCAACAGATAATTTTAACTGTGCGCGCAAGGTGGAAAAATGACGAAACTTTTTCACAAAGCGATTATTAAGTTATAAAAATATTTGTGGCAAAACAAACTTTCTGATTACGATTTCAGAAAGTAGCTATATTATGTAGTGAGCAATAAAAAGTTGGAAGTAATTGCTTACTAAGTAATAAATAAGTTATCTCAATTCTTGCAACAGTCACATGTTCGAAGATCATAAGGGGTTTAAGGTGTATGAGCCCCCTTAAAATATCGATGTGTATACCACATGATTTCCTCGTACAGAATAAATTATACACATTTTTTGCTGCACTTCATTTAAACTCTTATTTACTCGAGTTTTATTAGAGATATATATCTCATTCAATTAATTCAGTTCTCACTTCTAGGCAAAAATGCATAAAAACTCAAAGCATCTTCATTAAAATTTGCAAAATATAGAAAAACCTCTAACATCAAATGCAGTTAAAAAAGTTAAGAAAAACAATTTTTACGCTTAAAATCAGAGTTTCTACGCAAAAACAAACAATTCGGTCACCGGGCAGAAAGATAAAATTTTATGTGCCCAAAACTGAAAGTTAACATTTAGTTCCACTGGGCAAAAAGACACTGAAGTCTGTACCAACTGATTTAATTCACTATTCCTCTATGAGTTTCATACGTAAACCAAGGGTGGCCTTGTTAGGTTTAGCTCCACTTAAACGTTTAAATTGCTGATAATTGTACAGATAATGCACGCAGATTAACTGAAGGCATAAAAAACTTAGCGAGAACATAACAACATAATTCAATAACTTTTAAAGGAAAAAATGCACAATTTACCAACATATAAGAATAAAACTGGAGCTCACTGAGCCGAGTAACAAAGCAGAAATATATATACACGGTAATATATTCAGGAACAGGAATTTGGATGGCGTAGAAGTGCTGATCCATAATGACTAGGAAATTGGAGTCGAAGACAGATTAAATCTTCATTTTTATTTTCGGCAACATGCCGCGGACACACACAATTCGGCACACCATATGTGCCCGTTCCAAAAGGCTTACATTTTTGACATTTTTGATAATTTTGTAGCAAGAAAGCAGAGCAGACAGACAGCAGCGTAACTAGGCCAAAGCGTGGAAAGCAAGTGCGTATTTTTCAAGGTGAAATCTTCTTCAAACTGAGTTAGTTTTGGTTTTCAAAGTATTTTGATTGGATAGTTAATATTGCTGTAAAATTGTTATTGGCTGCTTGAGTTTTAGTCCAATTTACACCACTAGAATTACGTTAGAGTCATATGACATAGATTTTTCTCGAAATGACGCAGTGCAAGTAAATGTTACTATTTTTAGAATAGAGAAGGGAAATTAATTTACGCTGCTAATTTAATCTTTTACATATTATTTTTCTTAAGTGCATAAATTGCATTTTGAATTAGAACGTCATCTTAAGTAAATAAGCGGCAGCAGCATACATAAAAAGCATTTTGCCGACAGGAGAGCTTAGCGGTGTAAAAAAAAAAAAAAAAGTAACTAAAAAAAAAAAAAACTAAATAAAAAAAAAAAGTAACTAAAAATTACCAGAGAAGAAGGTTGGGAGTCGGAAATTCGTTCAGAGTTTTGGTTTACAATTAATTTGATTGGACAAGAGGCATCTGATTAAAACGTTACTAAGATAGAAAAATCTGGAACCTGTGAGAAGAGATGAATTTAGGGGCAGATCACTAAATTTAGAATGTTAATTTTGAGGTCGCCAATTATTATTTTTTTTAAACAGCTATCATATTTTTTATATCTTACGTACATGTATATACGTTTGGTGCAGCCGATTGTAACTCAAAAGAGAGGTGCACGATTACATGCTATAGCAGTCCCGTATACAAAATTGCAATTCTAAGGCTACTCGTTTTGAGTTATGAGAGATACACACTTACGCACGTCACCAGAAAAGTGTTTCCTTAATTCATTTTAAATCGATTTTACTGTCCGTTATGGGAAAAAAAACAGTCCTTTATTCTCCCAGTACGTACAGATGTCATTCAAAAACACTGTCAAGTGAATTCGAAAGCGGAGTCAAAATGGATATTTTCGTTGAAATAGATACCCGGAATTTTTCTCAACTTCAATACTTCCTTTATTTCGTACAAGGAAGTAAAAAGATATACTTTCAGTTCAAATACGCTCAGAAATAAAGAAGGTAAGATATAGTATTGAATCAGTACAAAAACACATATATTATACTGTACATTGTACATGCATCAATGCATAATCAAATTTTTCATTCCAGAGACGGAGAGAATTACCCTCTTCCTTTGCGTACGCTCATTCTCTTGCTGTTAAATATTAGCACTCTTTAACCTCTTCGTCGTTCGTAACGCGTCTAGTGCGTTCAAGTAGAACTTCCGCAGGGTGGCCGTAACGCGCCTCAAGCGTTCTTCTACATTATACCTCTTAGAGGGTAGCACTAATCAGGCATTCTATTTCTAATTGAAGTTGTCCCGGGTTTTATGAATATTCGCGCCATTTTTCATAAGATACAAGACAGTGAGAGATGGCTTCAACGTCTACTCAGCAGAAAAAGAGAAAAAAATGAGGTTGTGAATTGGAAAGACAAGAAGGATATATAGTGGTGGCCAAAATTGTGGACACTTTTGGAAATTTTTATGTTTTTGAACTTTGTATGCTTATAGAAAACGTTACGTTTCACAAAATACAAACTTGTATATACCATTTTAAAGAGAATTTATTACTGAATTCAATACAAAACACAAAATTCAATTATTTGCAATACAAAAAAAGTTAAACGATAATAGTTATCGATATACATTAGATAGTGATGATTGAAGGAGTTATCAGTACTTAGTAGGGTACTCTTTATTTTTGATTACTGCTTCACATCGACGTTTCATTGAGCTGACAAGAGTTTTAAGCTCTTCTTTCCTTATTACACGATGCCAGGAAACAATTATAGCCTCAATTAGTTCCCTTTTATTTGATGGGCGCTTCATCCGGACAAGAGTTTTCAAACGGTGCCACAAATTTTCGATAGAATTGAGGTCAGGACTGTTTCCTGGCCATGACAACAATTTAATGCTCTTTGTACGAAACCACTTCTTCGATATTTTGGTCGTGTGGCAAGGAGCAGAATCCTACTGAAAAATAAACGAAGCATTGTTGGGAAAGAGATCTCTGATGGAAGGTAGAAGTTTTGGTTCTAGAATAGTGTCAATGTATTTTGGCATTCAGTGTCCCATCGATGACATGAAGGCGATCAATACCATCTGCTGACATGCATGACTAAATCATAACACTAACTGGGTTCTTCACAGTTGCTTGAATGCAGTCAGGATGTAGCTCTTCTCCTATTCTACGTCTTACTATTTTCGCACATCACTACGAATAACGATATCTTAGTTTCATCACCATGTAACTTGTGACCACTGATCATCTGTCAATTAATGTATTCATTTGACCACATAGTCTTTTTTTTTTCGTTGCTCTGAAAATTAAGATAAGGCTTTTTTCGTGGATTCTACCTCTCAGTCCAACATTGTTAATCTTCTCCTGATTGTTCTTGAACTGACAGAAACCCAGCATCATTCAGATCACTTCTGATGGCCTGATGACATTTTCCTAACTTGGAGACATAGTCTTTTTATTCTTCTGTCATCAATAGATGTGGTGCACCTTTTTCGGCCTTTTTCCTTCTTTGTTTTTTATTGAATTTGTCTCTGATTCGTAAACAAAACTTTCGGACTCCAGATGTAGTCACTGAACCACCCACCCGTCTTGCAATTTCAGCATAGGAAAGACCACTTTCTCGTAACACAATAATATTACATCGCTTTCCAGGTGTCCAATCTACTCTTTCATTTGATGTCATTGCTTCTTGACTACTGATTGAAGTTTTACAAAAATTCCTACTTGTAATTGCAGTGTATAAGAAACAGGTCCTCCTTCTACAGAACAAAGCAAAATAATGAACTGTTTCAAGTGTAAACATGATGTCAGTTTCTACTGGCAGTTACTAACATTTTATTGGTTCTCAGAAGAAGAACAGTGATTGGCCAGGAAAGCTAGACATTACAAAACACTTTATAACTGTGTTTTTTATTTATATTAAAGTACATATAACTTTTTTCGTATTGCAAAAAAATGAATTTTGTGTTTTGCATTGAATTCAGTAATAAATTATCTTTAAAATGATATATACAAGTTTGCATTTTGCGAAACGTAACATTTTCTATAAGCATACAAAGTTCAAAAACATAAAAATTTCCAAAAGTGTCCACAATTTTGGCCACCACTGTACGTTTGATGAGTACAGTCCATAATAATTCAATGATTGATGTTAGAACACGGAAAATAACTTTAAAAAAACCAATAATTGTAAAAGATTACAACAACAAAATGGGAGGAGTAGA